GAGCCTGTCCTTTTCTTCTATGGTGTTAGCTTCAGTGTCACTTGAAAGCCTTTGCTGTGCTTTAATATTTGTGTCATGTGCCCAGGGACAGGCACCACTCAGGGCTTGCTCTGGTATCCAGGTGGTTTTTATACTGTCAATCACTTCTCAAAACCTTTGCTATACTTCTCTGGCTATTTTCTATGCATGTGCAACTTAGGGGTAAGCTTGGTACTTACCAAGTACAGAATTTTAGAGTCTCTTTTTCGGCTCTTTTCTCTGTGGGTTTCCTTTGTACTCTCTGGCTCCTGAGGCCCTTTCCCCAGTTTTTCTGGCCAGAAAGATTGGATTCTTTCACAGTTTTGGCCTCTTGTGCTGTGGCACACACTGTTCTATGCAGTTGCATCATACAGCAAAGCGTCAAAAGAAAAGAAAAATATATGTAATTATGATTCCTCTCTTATTCTCTGCATTATGAGGGCCCATTTTTCTAGTTTCTCTCTCTTTTGGTCATCTTTTGGGATTGTAAGTGTCCATACCTCCACTGAGGCAGCTGTGGTGTTTGAAAATGACCTAGAAGCAGGATGAGGAAAATTAAAATAGAAAAATAACTATGGAGAAGGAGATTTCTCTCCTCCACACTCTGACTTGCAGGGGCCTCCTTCCCTAGATCTCTTGCCCAGACAGTGGATTCCACTAGGGTTTTCCTGCTATTTTTACCTTTTACACTGTTCCAAATTTGGCTTACTTTCAGCCCAAATCCTTGAGAAGAAAAAAAGGAGAAAAACCCAGATAATTCTTTGTAGCCAAGCTGATCTTTCTTCAAGATTTAATTTTCATCCCCAATCCACTTTGCAACTATTTACTTTTTAGAGGGCTCATGTAGCTGTTTGTCATGCTTATCCGGTTTTAGCTGTGATGGGGTGGGGTGGGGAGTGATGGAATAAGATTCTTATTTCCTAGACTGCCTCTCATTCATGGTCATACACCTAACACTTGGTGTAGAACCTGTTTTATGAGAGAAAACCTTAGTTTTTTTTGTAAATGAAGTGAATGGAAACGTAAAATGGGGACTCACCAATTATCTAATAAATTCTTGTTGGACACAGCAAATATTTGGCCCATAGTCTGCCATTATGTATTCCTGTACTCAGAAGTTGACATCAGTACCATCTGTGGTGGCTCTGTTGTCTGCAAAGCCTGAGTACAACCACAGAGCACGCCCAACACTGAGCACCTGGAGGCCAGTCCTGTCCTCAGGACTTCCTTATCCACATTTCTAGCCTTCCTTTCCCATCTAACTGGGGAGCCTCCTCTTCTCCAGTTTCCATCTCTCCATCCTCTTTTCTCTAAGATTCCTGATGATTGATTTATTTTTTTTTTGCTGGGAAGGCTTATTGAGAAAAATCATTCTTTGCTTTTTTATGAAGTTTCTATTTTTTCTTAAAATATTATAATTTGACTAATACATTTTGCTGAGCTTCTCCTCACTTATACTAACAAGATTTTATTTTAGTGTTTTAGCCTCTTGGAAATGATGAATTTGTTTAATAGATCTGCAGTTACCCAACTCAAAAGTGATCATCATAATTCCTTTTTATTTATTACATATCACCAAACCCACAATCCATTTCTCACCAGCTGCAGCCATTAATTCAGCCTTTCTTGTCCTCAACTTAGCGACTCCTGTACTTCTCATTTTGAACCATTCTAAGTACAAATATTAAGAGAAAGTAGTATGCTTTAAATAAATCTGATTTAAAATCAGATTTGCTTAGAAAGCATAGCTGTACAAACGTCTAAAAATAGTTTTGCTTGCCATTTTGTATTGCCTTGGGCTCTTTCCTAAAAGAGCTACACTCTAAATAGAAGTGGTGGGGGTTTTTTGTTGTTGTTTAAGGATTTGGGGCGATTATTTTTATCTTCTTAGGGATCACTGTGCTACGAATATATTTTAGCAGGAAATAAGAACCAGTGCTCGTAAATCATGCAAACATCTTTTCATGTCTTTGTAAATCTGGTATAAAACACCTGTATGTTATCCAGCTGGGTCCCAGCATGAGAGAACTCTATCCAGAACCTGAGGTGCTCCCACTTCTACAATGGAGTATCTGGTGAGGAAAATGAGGTCTTGAAGGATATTAAATATGTATGTGGTGCAAATATTTAGCAAGAAGAGTTGACTGAAGGTCACGAACGTGGACATTACCAAGTCCAAGGACATCTGGTAAGATCTCTTGCGTAAGATAATTGAAGATGTATAGCTGGAATTCCATCTAGCAGTTTATATGGCTGAAATTAGAAAAATGAAAATGAAAGAAACATACTCTGTGACAGTCTTCTGTGTCCACAACCTAAGTGCCTTTTCTTTCCCTTTTCTCCTTTCTCCTGTGGTCTCCAGTTTACCGTGGTTTCTGGGCAGTCCTGATGCTCCTGGGGGTAGTTGCTGTGGTCACTGCCAGTTTTTTGATCATCTGTGCTGCCCCCTTTGCCAGCCACTTTCTCTACAAAGCTGGGGGAGGCTCGTACATTGCTGCAGGTAGGTACAGTGCCAAGGGTATGGTTCCTAACTGTGGCTTTTCTTCAAGTTGCCTAGTTTTTGAGATTCAGGTGTCAAGACTATCATGATGATGTTCGCATACAAAAATTCTTGAGTGGTAAGTGCATGTCACACACTTTCTAGGGACTTTCCATTTTCCATGTGCTGACACACCTAACTAAGTGGCAGTCTCTGCCCATTGCAGCACCATTAGACAAACAAGAACACTGAGGCTTAGAGCCGAAAGCTGTGATGTTGACGCCTTCTGAGGTATCCAAGAGCCTTTTAGTCTCTCTTACTCTATTAATTTTTTGACAGTAAAATGGGGGTCATAATACATGCATGTGTCTCTGTAACATATCAGGATGTAGGTGAATTTTTTGCATGCTTTAACCCTGTGAGGTTATTTTTGATAAACATACTCTCATGATTTGTATATCGTAGGAACAAAAATCTTCTTCTACCTCATCACCATTCAATTTTCTTAAATGTGTATGTTTGTGTATTATCTAAACATTTTTTTTTCTGCATAGAACTTGCATTTATTTTAGTTACTTTTCCAACTAGTCTCACACCTGCTGAAATGATTGTGGTGGGACAAAGAGAAAAGCAGGTGAATAGGTGAGTCTTGTGAATTATAAGGCTTTTTCTATTCATTAGGAAGAACAAAGTTATTATTTATAGAGATGACCATTCTGGAAAAGTAGGCACACTTCAGTGTGGCTGAGACCAAACTGTACATAACTGTGCTAGATTGAAACATCAGACTAGAGGACAGGGTGTTTCTAGGTGACACTGTTGTGGCAGTTGAAAGAGAGGAAAGGAACGGGTAGCTTTATGGCCTTCATAATCATTGCAGAGTGAGTTCCTGATGCCTCTCACTGTCACTTCAGCAATGGGCAGGAAACACAACTCTGTTTCCATAATGTGGTGCTTAATTCTGCAGAGGAATAAAAAAATAATCAGATAATAGATCCTCTGTTTAAAGAGCTCAAAAAAAAAAAAAAAACCCACTGTGAGAAGAACCCTTCTTAATCTATTCTGCCTGTCTCTTATGTCTTTTATTTCAACTTTTTTCTTGACTGGATTTGCCCACTAGAGCTTATCATTTTTGATAAACATTTTTATTGAGATGTAAGTCACATACCACAACTTACCATTTTAAAGTGTGTAATTCAATATGGTATTTTCACTACTTCCACAGAGCTGTGCAAATGTCACTACTCTCTGATTTCAGAATACCTTCATCATTCCCACAAAGAAACGCCACTCTCTCCTCTCCTCTCTCCCCACTAGCCCCGAGAAACCACTCATCTGCTTTTTGTCTCTGGGTTTGTCTGTTCTGGGTAATTCATATAAATGGGATCACACAATATGTGGCTTTCTGTGTCTGGCTTCTCTCGCTTCCGTCTCATAAGTTAATCATCTGTCTGTTTGAATTCATAATTCCCTAAGACCAAGCCCATTATGGAGCTCCTAATTCCATCATGACCAAACTTGTTTTATATTCCTTAAAAATGAGCATCTTCTTTGCCAAATATTTTTTCACCCAAAAAGCATATTCTACCCTGACCTCATTCAAAGTTCTAATGGGGGTGCATAATTTTTCAGCTGTCTTCCCAGAAATAACAGCACCCTGCTAAAACGTGTAAATACTTGTTTCTTCTCATTACTTTGCTTTTCTTTTAAAATCTCAGTTAATCAATAAGGGGAACATTTCGGTACTACTGCGTTTTGGGCTGCATGATTATTTTAAACCCAGAATGCTTTGATCTTGGGTTTGGTCCAGTTAGAGAATTTGTGTGTGTGTGTGTGTGTTTGATACTTTCAAAAACATTGTTGGTCATTTTTCCAATTTATAATTTTTGCAAGAATGTAGTATATACAAAAAATTATATTTGGGTGAGAATTTGATAGAATGAAAAAGTATTTGATATGTGCTCATATAATCATATGCCTATGTCCAGTGGCTTTTCTTTTTTCAAAGCACCTCATGCTGTAGGTAGGGACAGTCTGGGACCTCCTTGCTCAAGACTTCATGCAAAAGCCCCGGGGAGTGCCGAGGTGTGTGAGACATTCTGAGAGCCTATTTTCAAAGCCACTAAACTAGATGATTATGAGGATGCTTCTTTTAAATTCGACTTTTAATTTCCTTGTATTGGTTGTGTATGACCATTTGTTTCTCAAGAATCAGATGAGATACCCAATTGAATGAGATAAAACATTACTGTTCATCTTATCATGAGTCTCTCATGCCTGCCTGGGGCCGACACACTGTGCCCTGGCCAGCACTCAGGAGCAGGTGCTGTGGGCTCAGGGTCGTCATGCTGCTTTATCCATGCCTCAAACGGGATTGGTGCTCTCTGTTTGGGCAGATGGCCTTAGGGAAGGGCAGAACCAAATTTTAATTGACCATCGCTGGGCGTGTGCACATAGGAGGACTCTTTGGCATCAGCAGGACTATTTTTAGGCAATCCATGCATGGCAGAGGGATGGCAATGTCACAGCTGTGGGGTGGGAGGAGTGGGATGGCGGTATTCCCCTTGCTGGGTCAACAGGCTGGGAGGGCTGGGAAGGCGGATATCTCCACTCCCTGATCTTCCTCAGGCAGGCCAGGCCATGTGTTTTTTGAGGGGTATCTGTTCTGGACATAGTAATTGTCAGGACTTGATGCCCCTGAGCCTGTGCTTCAGTGAGTCACCACACTCCCCCACAAAGCCCAAACACCTGCTGTCATTTGCTCAATGTGGACTCACAGAGAACTCTTACACACAAAAGGGCTGACCTTTGTCTTCCTGTCCCTGTGATACTGGATGTGATAGGAAAGACACTGGAAGTGTTAGAATGAGCAAGTGTGGCATTCAAAGACTTGGATTATATAAAGAATATTAGTACAGAGCTGAATATTCCCAACCCCTGGGCAAGGCAACCTCAACGTGGCAATTGCTGTACATGAGCCAGATGTCTGTGAGGATGGAAAAGAATAAGGTTGTAGTCTGTGTGGACACTGGCCTTGGGGATTAGCCATGAAAACTAGAAATTGCTGTTTTTATCAGCATGTCAGGGCAGAAATATTTTTCTGCTATAATCAAAATTCTCTTTTCAAACTGGCAAATCAGGGTGACCACTGAGCTTTTCTACTGAATGGAGATGTAGACAGCTTCTCCCATCAGTGGAGAGGCCCACAGAGCTCTCCTGTTAGACCTAGGGGGTGAGACTACTTAGGTGTCTTGTGAGGTTTAGAGAAGAGGCTCTGCCTTTGGGCCCAGGATGTGCTAATGGAAACAGAGGATGCCTTGCAGTGTAATTTAGGCCTGTGGAACTTGAGGCAGGCAACACTGTGGTTTGCTTCCTTCGTGGTCTGTTGCTGCACTCCATTCTGAGACTGTGGGCTGAGCTCCTCACCCTGACAGCCATTTCACAAGCTGTGCTCCTCCCTTGGGACGTCAGCAGAGCTGGATGGGTTGAACTGTGTGAATCCTCTGCCGTGAGGGCCCCACAGCCTAAAGCACAGCCTTCTGGGGTTACCCCTGTTCCCCCTGCTCTGGAGGAGAGAGTGTTCTAGAAGTGTCGTGATGTGAACCTTCCTAATAAAAGAGTATAGGAAAGGTGACTGGACATAAAGGGAAGAAAACAATTCCCATCTCCAGCCGATGAGGCTGACTTAGAAGAAAGTGGGATTTGCCGTTTCTTTTCCTTTTCTCTTTCAAGAGATCAAGGGAAACTGCAGTCGCTCATCAAGTGTAATTATTAAAAATTATGTGTTACTGATAGACCAGCCAGATGGAATTCTTACAGTACAATCAGTGCCTTTGGTTTTGATGATCAAAAAACATAGGTATACAAGATTAGAGCGATGGGATGCATGCAGAAGACAAGAGGCTTTCCCCTCTTTAATCCTGGAAAGAACAGCTCAGTTTGGATGCTCGTCTTCCGTACATGTTCCTCCAGGTAAAGCCACAGGGGGTGGGAGAGTGTGCGGAGGCATCCAGAAGAGCGAGAGCAGAAAGCGGTTAGGAAAGAGCTGCTGACAGCCTGAGGACAGGCCTCCTGAACTTGCAGGCACACACAGACTCTGTGGCACCTGCTGTCTCCATGTCTATCTAGTGAAAGATTGAGGCTGTAAGCAGGTGCTCCCTGTGGACAAGTGAGGGGGCCCTTGGGGGAGGAGAAGGGGCCTGCAAGGCCAGTGCACACTCTGCTGGGGTGGCTTTTCTAAAGCCTCTGTGACTTTCCTGATGTGTAAAAAGTAGGCTTCCCGGAGGATATCAAATGCATCACTTCCTAACAGGAAACTGAATATTTCACCACATTGCAGGACTTAACATGTTCAGAGCTCTGGTGTGTTGGAGGTGGGTGGTGGAAACAAAAAAGTAATCATTAAAAACTATTCATTACTCATACACCGGCTGGACGTAATTCTTACAGTCACAATCAGTGTCTTTGGTTTTGTTGACCAAAAATTGTAGTACGCTAGATCTGCTTTCCAAGCGTGAGTGGAGAACATCTATTTTATGTTTCTAGAAGTGCCAGCTTTGTAAACATATTTGTTCCTTCAGTTGTCATATTTGGGAATTCGTCTGGAATTTTCCAAATTCTGTTTTGGAAAAATCAGCAATTTTCTAGACATCTCTGCATACTGATCCTATTATGATGTGGGAAGGTCTTTTTTTCAATTTTTAATGTGGATGATTTTCTAATGTCCTTGGTCTGACATTTTTTGTTGTTTTTGAGACAGAGTCCCACCCTATGCCCTGAGCAGGGTACAGTGGCGTCATAGCTCACTGCAACCTCAGACTCGGGCTATCGGCATCCCACTGCCTCAGCCTCCAGAAGCTGCTGGGATTACAGGCACTCAATGTGGCGCCCAGCTGGGTTTTTCCATTTTTTTAGGAGTCAGGGTCTCACTCTTGCTCAGGCAAGTCTTGAACTCCTGAGCTCAAGCAATTCTCCCTCCTCAGCCTCCCACAGTGCTGGGATTACAGGCATGAGCCACCATG